AGTTGAAGCCATCACATTGTCTTTTTCGCCCGCTTGCGAAATATTTCGTCCGTTTTATTTATGGGACCTAGCTCCGAATAATTTCATCTCTAATATTTGGCTTACGTGAATAATATTAGGTATATAGCATAAAGTCACTTTATGACAGGTTTATACCAGCTAAAGTTTAAGGTATGAATTATATTACATGCCTATATTTTTTAGACTGGAGGCCACAGGTAACCCGTTGTGATGTCAGATAGAACTATTATGCTTAATTTTAACAAGACAGAGAATCTAGATATTTTTGCGTGGAAATTAAAACAAAATAGTTAAATTAAAAACTGCACAACATATAGGTGATCAAATGATCTAATAAGCTTATACGAAATTCAGAGTTGATCATTTCTGTTGTTGAGAACAATATGAAATATTCTAAAATTCAGCTAGGCCATTTCTTAAAACATTGCCTAATCGAAAATGCAATAAAATATATGCAGAAGCAAAATATTTGACTTGCATCAATATAAACTAGATTTTTTAAACGGGCTATTTTAGTATTTGTTTATCAGTATAGATGGATGGGCAGATATGAGAACATTTGAATTTTGCATGTGTAAAAAGGGTAAAAAAGCAAACACAGTTGTCGGGCTGATAGAATGCATGAGGATTTGACATTTGGCGTGAACGCTATAAAAAAGGGTAGGCTACATTACACAAAAACGCGTGTCACTGTAATCATTGGGTCTAAGCGTTCAACTTTTTCTGTTCTTTCTCTCGTGAGGTTTAGTTAACGTTGTTATCTCTATTAATTGTCACAGAAACACATTTCAGTCTGCTAACAAAATAATTATACATTAGAGTAATTTAAAGCGATGACACTTTTGGTGGTTTGTCTTGAGAAAAAAGGGCTTACTAGATATGGCAGAAGTTCTAGAAATGTTGAACTGCTGTATGCTTCCTATATTAAGGCCTGAACGATTGTCACGTTACAATGATCAATTTATGTATTTTAATAAAAAATGCATTTGGTGAAATATTTATAAGATGGCTGTAGTTTATTTAAACATGTATATGTTGTTGGCATAATAATAATAAAAAATCTAACCTGCATGTCAAAACATAAGGACATTGATATTCAGCAGTCATCATTTTAAAATGCATTTGGCTATAAATACAGCTCAGGGAGCATGTTAAAAATTACAAACAGCTATCTTAGGTACAACACAGAATCTTGTTTCATTCTAACAAATTTATTGTTCTCGATCATCTCTTACGGAATCACTACTGAAATTAAATTACAATCAAATCATCACATCAAAATATACCCTTATTACCTACTGTCAAAGTCAGCTCGTGTAGATTTGTGCTCTTTTATAAATGAGAATACAAAATTAAACAAAACAAAAAGGGTCAACAACGAAAATAGGGGGTGGGGGACATTTTACACAAGTCTGGGGGAAATAAATAACTGTTTGGAATAGTTCGTATGTATCCCGAATAAAATATTAAAACAAAGCATTTAATGAAAAATATTAAGTAAATAATTCCGATCAGCATCTGATCTAATGAATCTATATTGCCGGCTTTACATAGTCTTGTTTATTAAAACCTACCAAAGAATACTGCTTGGAAATGGCAGCACATGAAAACATCCACAGCACCAGCTCTGGCCCACTTGGCAACGGATGTTCGCACAGAAGGTTTTCAAAGAGGTGCAGCTGCGGAATATTAAGTCTTTTCAAAAGTCATCTTTGATTTAATTTTGTCCTCAAAAATCCACGTATGATTCAGTCCTTTACATAAAAAAACAACAATTTCAAAAGATGTGATCTTGGAGATCAGGGCAGTCTTTGTTTTGTTTTTGTAAGGATTGGAAGGCCAAAAAAAAAATCCATTCCATATTTTTGGATAATATCAAACCATGCAGTCTTCTCTGCCAAGTTGGATGGAAGCTTCGTGGATGCCACTGTTCTTCGCATTGTTGCAGCTGAATTTCATCCCTTTGTTTGAAGTTTAATGTCCCATAACAACATACACAATTGCCTGCGCCTTTTGCCTCTCAAACAAGACATGGGTGTAAAGGGGTAGGGGGCAAAAGAATGCGTTGTTCATTTCTAATTTCAGTTATTTGCAGTTGAAGTTAATGCGCCAAAATTACCTGGTGGAACGAACTTGTAGTTGTCACCCTCTGGTCGCCCGGTTCGCTCGGCCCAGTTAAACTTGCATCTTTTAAGTAATCTACTAAAAAATGTCCCTGAAAGAAAGAGCAGACAAAACCTTTTAGGTTAAGACATTTAAGGGCCTGGAAGAAGATTAGCGGGCGGTTTAGGGTTGGGAAAGAAAGAGGGGTGATTTTGTTTTTCTTGTGAAAAAAATATATAACACATCTGCAGTCTCAATAATCCCTCACAATCACAGTATCAAAATGTTTTGCTATCTTGATGATAGTCTGTGTTTTATCAGATTAGTCATATATAAAATATTTTTTAGTCTTGTATGCTGTTCTATGTCTCACTGAACATTCGTTTGCAGTCCATGGAGGGGGGCGGTGTATCTGCACTCACATTGCCGACCTGAGAATATACATCCTCCGGCGTCTGCGGCACTCCTGGGGGCGTCATCCTTTTCTCTTTCTGCCTCCGATTGCAAAACCAGACTCTCACCACCTCCTTCTCCAGCTGCAGGTTGTCCGCCAGCGAGGTTATCTCTTGGGCCGAAGGCTTGGGACATTTTAAGAAGTGACTCTCCAGAGCCCCTTTGACGCTCACTTCGATGGAGGTGCGCTTCTTGCGTTTTCTGCCCTGAGCCGCGATCTTGTCGATGCTGGTGGGACTGCCCGTGGAAGAGTCTGCTTCCTCGAGCCATTTGTTAAGCAACGGCTTCAGTTTGCACATGTTCTTAAAGCTGAGCTGGAGAGCTTCGAATCGACAGATTGTGGTCTGCGAGAAAACGTTCCCGTACAGAGTGCCCAACGCCAAGCCCACGTCCGCCTGCGTGAAGCCCAGTTTGATCCGGCGTTGTTTGAACTGCTTGGCAAAGTGCTCTAAGTCATCCGACGTTGGCGTGTCCTCGTCGGAGTGCGGGTCGTGGCTGTTCACTCCGTGATGTGCTTGCTGGTGATGTTGATGCTGGTGGTGATGGTGGTGGTGGTGGCTGCTGTGATCGAGCTCCGGGGTGTCGCCACGCACCAGACCCGGGTGTACAAGGCTTTGGCTGCCCGGCGGACTGAGCATGCCGTTCACCGTGAAGCCGCCAGGCTGCGAGTATATGAGAGACTGCTGCTGCTGCTGGCTCCCTGTTAGCGAAGGGATGTGGGCAGCAGTTGTGCTACCCCAGGCACCCGCGTGAGTCTGGTGGGGACCTAAATGTGGGGCCCTGTGATGCAGCGCAGTCCCAGAGTGCAAATCGTCTCTCCCAGAGTTATTTTTCACGTCCTGCTGCTGCGGACTGCCTGTCATCCCAACTGGGCTAGACGACCAAGGCGATCCGGCTTCAGCTGCGGCCACTGCGGCAGCTGCAGCCGCCGCTGCGGCGTGAGGCAAGGACGTCACCCACTGGTGAGCGTGGCTCAGCATATGTCCCCCGTTGCTCGCTGCCATTGCGCCCTGCATGAAATCACTTTGGACCATTTTAACCGTTGGGTCTCCTCTGTACCCACCGGACACTGAGGTTACTGCAGCACTGCCCTGCTGCATCCCACCCCCGGAGTCCGAGTGCACTATCGAGCCGGACGATAATATACTACTGCTGGCTAGATAAGGGTTGGAAGCCGCTGTGGCCATTCCGTTAACCTTATGAATATGTTTGCTGATCACCCCCTCCCTTTTGCAAAAACTTTTTTAATGCAGGCAAATTATATCTCATGAATTATTCAAACTTTAAAAGTCTGGCTTGTGTTTTGGCAAACACCATCAACAAAAAGCAAAGAGAAAGTATCTGCAGGCGAGTGGACGAAATCCGTCTCTTGAATAATTTGTGGATTCATATATTTCGAACATGAATGATTGAAACGATAAATTCCAATTTTATGACAGCGTTGAAAAGCCCTCGGAAATCAAACCGTCCTCCAGTCTGTGTTTTCTTTTTAAAATGTCTGTCTGAAAACAAACCAAAAGAGAGAAAAAATGATAGATTCAAAATTGTTTCAAAAACTGTCCCGCGAAAAAGTTCTGGCGCTTGAAGAAGTTGTAATGCCCTTAAAAATAATAAGTCCAAACGTATGTTCCGTTACCGAGTGGAAAAATATGAACGTGGTTCTTCCTCAATTCTTTTGTTATTTAGCCGCAGCGATTTCACTTGCTCCGTTTCTTTATTTCTTTTCTTTTGCAGATTCTTTTATGGTGCTGTAAAGTCTGTCTCTTTGTTCTGTTTTGATGTGTTTAAACCTGCCAAACCGCTCCAGTTGAAGTACAATCCAGTATTACAGTGCAAAGCAGTGTTGCATGCCTTCTTTCTCATTCGCTTGTTCTCTCTCCTCTCCCTCGCTCGCTCTCCCTCCCTCTCTTTCTCTCTCTCTCTGACAGTTAGCTCCGTCCCTCCCTCAGAGCTCGAGGACACACGAGTGTTTACCCTGTGCTGCGTACATCGTCCACGTCTTTTCCCCAAATGCGAGGAAGTCGGGTGTAAGGCTTTCGTTGATTGGATAGTACTGGCAAGATTGACAGGTCTAGAGAACTCGCTTCAGGCACTCAGACCCCCAGACCCCCCTTCCGGCTATTCCAATTGGTTGCTTTTGAATTTAAATAAATAAATCAAGATAAATGACTGAAAACTCAAAAAAATATATGGGAATACATAAATAAATCTACATTTAAGTATATTTTCTTAAAGTATTTGTCTTGTCAATAATTCAGCAGAGTAGACCTAACTATTAGTGTTTTAAGGGCCACGATTATAAAATGTAACATCTATATTATGCCAAGCTTTGGGATAAATTTAAATAAGAGTGATGAACAGTGACCTCTCACATATGCAATTATTCGATTTTTTTTTTTTTTTTTTTTTTTTTGTAATTAAAATTTCAAAGTGGGTCTTTTATAAATCACACTGGCTGCATTGGGATCTGTTTGCTAAACTATAGGGTTTCACTCTTATTGACAAAAGCAAGTTCAAAATATAATTTATCCTCCAAATTATCTGTTACAAATTTTGAACTCAACCAAGCCAGATAATATAAACATATCGACGCAATAACCCTCTTAATTGCATCACACCGACTACTACAACATACTCTGTACCCTCGGCCTCTTAAGAGTTAACGAGACGACTATGCGATGCTTCCAAGCGGAAACAGAGGCAGCTAAACACAAGAAAGGCATGGGGAGAAAGTGGCAACCAAAACGAATGCAAACTGAGCAGTCCTTTGGGGATTTGCAAGAAATGCCTTCTAATTTAACTACCAAGATCAACTAGCGATAGGCCAAACTCGTCATTCGTTTTTAAATTTGGCGCTGAATTGTTTAGACGTTTACCATCCGACCCCTACGACATATGGATTCACCCAGAGGTATAAATAAAAGTGCAAGTCCAATGAAAATTTCCACTGATTGACTTGAGCTTCAGCATGCAAGGGAGGTGTGACACCTGGTGTCAAAGGATGTTCTTGTTTATGAACTACTCCTAGCATAATACGTATCATTACGTGCATGAAAAGGCAGGCAAACATACACGTAAACCAATGCACCATTTAATCATTCCAAATGGTATTGTGACAGAAAAGCCTATGTTAGATTTCATTTAGTACTGGCGTATTGGGTGTAATAACACTGAATCAGGTTTTGTAGAAAACCCAAGAGAGGAATAGCACTCCCCTTCCCAGAAGATTTCATTTGGATCAGACTCAAAAACCGAGAGAACCTCGTGGATTTGTTTACATTGAATGGCAAAGTAGGGCCACCGCCACGGGGCTGTCTATTCATTAATTTCCAGCAGATTTTCGTCTAAATTACTGCTATGCATTTCATACTGCTCGCTTTCAAAGGACGTCTCGTGCGGCCATAAGAAACGTGATAGCCAGTGTGAGGAAAGGGATTCACTCACTAAGGAGTCAAAGCAATTTCAAACGTTCAAGCCTTCAACTTTTGAAGTTTCATGTTTTTATCTGAAAAGTAGGCTGTTTATTATTTATTTGTTTATGTAACAAGGTCCCCGTGTTCCCTGCTGGGGAGATCATTTGTTTTCTGTGCAAGTAGAGAGGGAAAAATCCCCAAGTATAACAAGAGACGAACAGTTAGTGCTGATTTTCATTTGCATAAATTTTCATATATTTTAGTGAAAATAATAGCGGTGCAGAGGAGAGCTCCGCTCAGTTGAGTCAGAGGGAAGAAAATCTTAGGAAGGACCAAAACGGAGGGAGAGAGCCGGTCACTGATGGACGAACAATGCAGCATTTGAGACATTTTTTCCAGTTATCATGGAATCTTACGGTAAGTGAAAATAAATCAGTATTCACCGTGCTTAAAAAACTAGACTGCATACTATACCTTAATGATTATTCTTTTATAGGCTAGCTATCTATCTGCCACCTTTATTTATATATATATATATATATATATATATTGTTCGGTTGCGAAATCTTTTTTTTTTTTCGTGTAAAAATCAATAAGACTGTTTAGCTTTATAAATAGCGAGCAGACGGTTAAGCTGCTGTTTTGTAGTGAATGTCCAGTGGAGAATGTGCAATCAATCAAATTCAAACAGGAGACCCTCGGTGGAATTCTCGGTGGAGTCGCGTACAAGTGGATATCAGGTCGTTTACATAAATCGATCTTCTACTTCTGTGCCAAAGTTTGATGAAACTTGGTCTCCGGCACTGGCTTATTTTGGAGCGCGCGATGTATAACGCGAGACGATGGGCGAATGACGGCAAGGACTTCAGTTGTTACCGAGAAAACACCGCACATGAAGGCTAACTAAGCAGAATCTAGCTGATCTTGATCATGGCAATGAAAAGATGCGAGTGTGCGAGAAAGCTTTGCTAAAATTAAACGAGACCGAAACAGAAGCAGTATAAATTATAAACATTTGCTGCGACTAAAATGTACAGAGTTACAAAGCAAAATTTAGTTCGAAATGTTAATAGATTTATTATAAAAAAATGTAATATACAAACATAACGAAAACCTTTCCCCTCGATATTTCTTGGGTTAACTTGTGTGCCCTCCCGGTCGAAGATGCCATCTCTCTCGCAGCCCCACTAAGACCGTTTGTTTCATTCATGGGTAAAGCATTTCTGAACCCTTCCTCTTGGTTGCTATGGTGAGTGGAATAAAAGAGGGAACACTGGTCGCATTAAGCTATATGTTTGTGCACTGGAGTCGAGATGAAAGAGCCACAGTCAAGCCAAGAACACTGCCATTGCGCCAAATACACATCTCAAATTCGTACATGTCTTTAAAAATACAAGCGCGTACAAAAAGATGTATAAAAAATAACTGAAATCAGCATAACCTTAAAAATTAGATCCCTCACTTACGCTTGACATTGACGTATGGAGAGTATTTTGTCACCAGCAGGTGTCGCGCTTAGTCAGCATGGTAAAGGCGCTAATGGTGAGTAATTGGGGTATTGTCCTTGATTATTGATTTATTCTTATTTTTTGAGGTGAAGCATAGGGTACCGATGTCGTAAAATGATACCTGTTGGAGAAATATTGCGCAAAATCACCAACGTATAATTAATTTATTTATAAAACATTCATTTAAATTATTGTTATTGCTAAAACAACAACAATGTAGGACTTAATATTAATGTTGCATGCTTTGAGAAATTATTCAGTGCAATCTTAGAACTGATTCATTCTACTTTGCAAGTCCCTGTAATCCTGACTTTGATTGATAACGTGGACGTGCTTTTTTCTTTAAGTTTATTAAATGGTTTCGCCGAGGTTAACAAATAAACATTTTAAACAGTTAGCCTACTTCATTATATGTGTTAGACATTTACATAAATATTATTGTGTAAAATGCTGATGGAATGAGTTTTAAAATGCATTTAAAACGTGTGTATATCTGACGTTATCATTAAGTGTTTTAAAGTAAAAAAAATAAGTAAAACGAATTGTATTAGCTCTCTAAATATCATAAAAATGCGCGCATGCTTGATCATCCACTTGCATATTTGAATAATTTATTTATTTATTTATTTATTTAATTTTTTGCATTACGAAAAGCACACGGTGTATGCATGTATCTTAATATGAATAAAAAATTAGGATTTTTAAAATCCAAAGAAAACATCTTTCAAAATAGGTTATTATTTTCATAATGTAGGCTAATGAATGTGTGTTTTGAAGAAAGACAATATATGTAACAAAACATTCTGCTGAATTGTCACTAATTTGAGAAGCAAACCTTCAAAGCGCTAAGCTCATGTCTGACAGCGTGAAATTGTAGGCCAAAGCTCTGGCGTCCTCCCAAAAAAACAGAATGCACTGTGCCTTATTTACTCTTAATTCCGGTGGATAACTTGTCATAGTGGGACATTAATAAAATGAGAAATAAAACATTACCGACGAATAATACGAATATTGTATAATTTTAGCCTATATATGATATATCTGATTTTTTATTTTTATTTTTTAATTTTAATTAAGTTAATTAATTTCTAACTCTTGTTTTATTCATTTTTTATCATTGGCCTGAAAGTGTCCGTCTTTCATTTAAAGGAAAATAGCACTGGACAGGATTATTTAATACAGCCAGTTTCAAGGTTTCATTTGCCACATTTTTTACACCGACTAAAATGCGAATCATTTTGAAACAAATTTGTTGTTATTTAGAAGAAAACTAGAAATCGAAATAAACCAAAAAGAATACTGCATCGCATTTCTATAGCATTTTTCCCTTTCCCCTCCTAAATCGGATAAAAACTATTTGGAATCAGTCTAAAATCTTTAGTACTAGTCGGTCAGCGAGGAAGAGTAATCGACTGGCCGATGTCATTTGATAATTTATGACTGCCAATGACATTATTTTTTATCCTTGTTCTGTACATGGAAGCCCATAGAGTGCGTCACGTCGTTCCGCCTTGTTTATTCCACTGCTCCCCTGTGCATCATTTCCCGTAGCACCGGCGCAGGAGGCGCGCTGCTCATGACCGAAATGGCGAGAAATGTTTCAGAGCTCTGTCTTACACGAAGATTATCCGGGCTTCATTATTCGTAAACATTCTAGCCAGCCCCTTATTGATTGCACTCTCCCCCATTGGAAATCAATGCAAATGTCATAATGTGCTTTAAATGATATGTGGATGCAACATAATATTGCTTCCATGCATATATATATATATATATATATATATATATATATATATATTCAACTAAAAAATCACTGAAAAAAAAAAAAATATATATATATATATAGCTTCCATCAGATACAATTTTTCTGATGCTATCACTCAGGACCCCAGCCTCAAATTTCATCCATCTCAGGATTTGTGTGATGTGACAAGCAGCTGTCTGTTCCTTGATATGGATGCTAGTCTTCCTTCTCTCTCTTTGTGTGTGTGTGTAACTGACAGTTCTCTCTTAACTGTCCCATGTGGACTAACAATATCTTTTGGACATCTTATAACAGACTCTGCACTGATTACAGCTGCAGGCCACAGTATAATCTAACTCCTACTGTCCCATTATAGGTCAGCGGCACTTTCCTGAAACACTTGATTATATATACATGCTGAGATTATCTGATATTTCGTCTTAATTATGCATCAGCATATTAATCTGATGAAAAAAAAGTTGCTGGAGCACTGTGCATGCCCTCTACCATTTAAAATGTATCCATTGTGTGCGGACTGAAGTGGTGCCCTGCATGTTTTTGTTTGTCAAACAGCACCGTTCCCTGAGGAGTGTGGTTTGTGGTACCTCCCTGCTCAGGATTACATTAATCAAAGCATTTATTTCCCCAGAGATGCACAGCACAAATCACCCAAAATCCCAATCAAATTGAATAACAGAGGAAGCACGCATTGGAAGTGACCTCTCTGCTTTTTCTGTTGCACATTTTATGGATAAAAAATAAAACGGATCTCTTCTGCTTCACTCACGAATAGGGTTTGTCTGTGTGATATACTCAATAACTGTAGGTGTGTACATGGAAATCTTATGCCACAGCCAGACATTGTGGTTTTCAGTGATGAAACATAGATGTTAGGTTTCAACAGAGTATATCTTACAGATTTAAGGATTTGCTGTTGGCTGCAGAAAGTACAGTCTTGTAGGTGAGACAAACCCACTGGATGAGAGCAGTCTCACTCCTCGGCATTAAACAAGAAGATCATTTGCAGAGGAAATCATTGCTTTTATGCCCGAGTTACAAAATGAGTGCGTTCGACTAAACCGTCAACACAATAAATCCACTGCAAAGTCGTGTGGCTTAATAAATATTGCTTGCAATACGAGGCCTATTACAGGTACTGCAAATAAAATAATACAGCTGTTCCTCATGTGTTGTTTTAATGTAACTAGCGTGCCCCGTTTGAGATTCATGGCGAAAATGGGAAGGAAATGCGAGGCTGTTTATGGCAGTGCAGCATGTTGAAACACAAATTTAGCTCTGCTGCTTTCAGCCCGATCAGGGATAAATGATGGAGCCTGTCCTGGAGTGGGTTACCAGACGGGAACGCTAACTATGCTAGGGAGGTGATGGAAACTGGAGCATTTTAGTGTAGATACTTTTGTTTTTGACACACAAGTCATAATACATAAATAACAAAAGCATTTTTCTGTCTATTTTGAGCAGTAAAATAAAAGGGCAGTGCATGACTAACAAAATGACAGAGTAAACGTGTAAGCAACTATATAAAATCTGCTTTTTTGTATGTGTGGGCACGCTCGGTTGTCAGAAAATCATTTGTGTGTGTCATCTTAATTACGTTCCCACCCACAGCAGGAAAAAAAATGGGTTTACATACGTCTGTATCCGTATTTTGGCATCCTATATGTTTCCCCAAACCTCTAAGCCTTTCCTCATTCTGAATCTCCAAAAAAATTCCCTCTCTTTGTCTCCTCCTCTAATTCTCTCCCTCTTGGTCCACTCACGCATACAACCCACAGGGTCACAAAAGCATCGTTCACCAGCCTTCTAGAAGTGGCCTGACCTTCTGCCAAACTACCTACCACACATTACTCATTACTCAGGCCGGGCACATGGACAGCCCCGAAGCTAAAATGCTGCCCTTAACTCAGGCAACATGCATCATTCTAAACTCCTCCAGTTCGCTCTCACTCACTTTTATTAAAATGTGCATGCTAAAGGTGCAGCGCAGTGCTTAGAGGCTGAATAATGGCTACAGTAAGCTAAGGAAACATATGTGTCTCATGTGGAAGGTGGAAAGGTCAATGAGTCTAATTTCTGGTATGCACGATAATGGCTATACAGTGCACCCGCAGTGGGTGATACAGCTGCACATTTCTATCGAAACCTCATGTCATATATGCAAAAATACTCCTTTAGCATATACTGAAATGATGAAGGAAATAGAATTGACGACGGCTGTTGTGGCTAAGCGAATTGAAATAAACAATCTTACATGTGTCTTAACAGGTACCTTTGTTTTGGGGTTTGCATACATGTGAGTGAGTAGATAAGAAGGCAAAATGTAGCCAATGAGTATAGGTTTCTTTTAGCACCATAAGTGTATCCGAAATCATATGTTAAAAAATACACCTAAAACATAATATCTAAGCATATATCAGCAACCAAAAAAAAAAAAAAAAACAATCTATCTATCAAAAATTTTATTTGCTTGCTTACATAGTACATTTGCTCTCAATTTAAGGATCAGTCACCCAAATAAGTGAAAGGCATATGATCAGATATCCTGTTAAACTTTATTAGTGAAAGTGACACCTGGAGAAAAGAATAGATGCCTGGCTGGATTCAAAAGGTGTATGGCGTGCTGTTGAAAGAACATTTGTTCAAAATGCAGTTTGAACCGATTCTTATATTTTATCATTTCTATTGCAGATCCGGAGCTTCAACTCTCTCACCTTCCCTCCCTTCTCCAGGGAGAGGGGCCTCCTTTCTACACTGGACCCAGACTCTATCTGCTGTAGAGGGACAGAGTGGCCACGCTGTGAGCACACACACATACACACACACACACACACACAGATCCCACTGCTTCCGTTTTCAGCTTACACTGCTGCTGGAGCTGTTAGCCTGCCGGCTATTTTTCTTTGAGAGACTATAAAAATATGCAAATGCTGTTGTTAAAGAGAACAGTCGAGTTTTTTATTTATTTTTTTTCTGCTCGCGCCCCTTGTCTGCAGAGCAAAGGGCGGAAGGATTCACTTTTGTCCCTCACTTTGTTTATAAAAAGACTGGGGAATTAAGAGAGCGACAGCGACAGACCTATCATAGACATGTTTGAAATGACCACATACAGAATAAAATGTTTTATTTACAAAACTGAGAGAGATCAACTCTAAAATACTCTTTTTTTTTTTTTTTTTTTTTTTTTTCATTCTTTGCACCTCTCATCATGGCGGACAGGCCTTAAACACAAAGCATCAACCGTTTTAAGAATGTAGGAAAAGTACAGGGTGAATTTGTAAACCCCTCACGGTGCCGCGAACACTTTTTGAAGTGATTATGAAGACAGTTCAGATCAAAGGCTTTGACAACTCTGAGTGCCCGCCAAGACTGAGCCCCTGTAATCGCACAGAGCCCTCCGTACAACACAGCTCACACCCCTCAAGCACCCGGCAGAACGCAACGCCACACTCACGCATAAACAGATTATCAGGGGACAGAAAACGGCTGGAAAGTAAATATGGGATTAGAATTTTCAAACTGAACCGCACCAATATAACCAAGGAGATTAGCCAAACATTTACAGGTAGATATTAATTATTGGCGTCTGGGAGATGATGGAAAAAAAAGCGAATTAAAAAATGCCTTGCAAATGTTTTAAAAAGCCGGGTCGCTATATATTTCATAATGCCCATTGTATTCAACATATCAAATGTATTAAATTACTGCCATGATTTTCTAAAGAGAAACGGGAGAAAAGAGAGGGAGAGAAGGAGAGCGAGCAGAAAGTGCTTTGTTGAAGTCAACAAACTCTTATATTTTTATATAATTATGTGCTCTGCTGTGCGTAACTGCTAGGCAGCATTGTAACAAATGTCCATCATTGGCTCCATTAGCCCTGCAGACAGACGGCCATTACGTTTTGCTCAGTATTTTGCTAACACTATAAAAAAAACACATCCCGAACAAAACAACAATACTCATAGGGATTTTATTATCTTTGTATCCACGTAATGTCACAGAATTCGAAGCAATGTTTCACACACTCTTAAAGTCAGCATGTGCTTATATGTTAACCATCTTGAACCTGTTCTCCACCCTCTTCTTTCATGTACGGTCATTTAATTGAACGTTTTGCTTTTGTCAGTGTATTCACTGTTTTGTGGTACTGCACTGGTGCTGATGTGAAACAATAAAGTGTGTGTGACAGCAAGTCCCCTCTCTGCCTCATGTTTACGGTGCCACTCAGCGCCTCTCTCAGACTAACCGCTTGGTACAGTCTTCTCTGGATCACTTCCAGAACCCTCGGGTTCCGAGTGGCCCAGTCTCTGAAGAGCAGCCAACAAACGGGCCTTTCAGTGTGGACAGCAGATGGGGCGGGCCAGCCAGCCACTCGGAGGAACTTCTTGTGTCGCCAGACACAGAGAATGAATCCGCTTTTATCTGCCAGCCCAATGGACTACAATGAGCCTTCCTGTGCACTTAACCATGAGACAGCACGCACACACATACAGAGAATGATGCCAGACAGGTACTGCACATTGCCATTCGCTAACCGTGGACGTTCAAATCCAAAACTCTGGGTTTGGCTACACTCACGAATGAACAGAAAAACACACAGTCTGTTTGTTCAATCATGTAAATCATTCTCCGGGTGGAAGAGCCACAATCCTGATAGGCTGCAAGATAAACAAGCTAAAAATTAATTCCTGAAGAATGATCAAAATCAACATTATTTAGGCATTATGATCAAAGACTGCGCCAGGCTATACACAATTTTTTTCGAAGCCAGTTTTTTAATCAAAATTACATGCTAGCATTACTTAATTCCTTTTATATCTTATATAAATAGGGGATAGGGGAGCTAAAAATCTGAGCATATTGACCTCTCTACTGTTTAATATTTACAGTTCGGTATTTTGCAAGTCGTTTATGCCTAATTGTTCCAGACAAGCTTTCCAATGTCTCTTTCAACAGTAGCAGAAACTCCCACTGACTAGTCTCTCACGGATAATCATCTGACACCACAGCGCTCGGCTGCTCCATACTGCCTCATACTAAGTGTGTGTGTGTTCTTTTGACAGCTTGGTCACAGAGAACTGCAGGCCCTATCGATTGCCTGATCATTAAGAGTGACCAGCTGAGTGGCAACATAGCCGCAAACACTGTTAACTCCAACGAGAAACATCTGACCTCTCTTTAACGAACAGCCATCGAGTGACCAGACCTACTCATTGACCCATAATAGTCACTGCAGGCCAGCAGCGTTAAGATAACTACACCCAGCTGTGGCCACTTCCATCGACTGCCACGGATCCACTAGGCTCGTGCGATTTGGAAAGGGCCTGACGTGGATTTTTATGAGGAAATGTATCTCATATCTGATGGTTTAGCAGATGTCCGTATGCAGAACAGTTGGCAGGTGTGTCTGCCAGTACAATCCCACTGATGATACAGTTTACACTAGTCCGACACCCACTGCTGAAAGTCTGCGAGTGACACTGCTCACCTCCTGTTGCGCTATTAGAAAGCACGGCTTCCAGTTCAGAGCCTCGCACTACCCCAGTATGTGTGTGAGAAAGAGACAGTGAGAAAGAAGGGGGAGGCAGAGAGAGGGTAGGAGGAGGAGGAAAAGGCCACTGATCAGTGAGTGAATGAAGCGTTTCTCTGGTGAGTCCCTCAGAGGGGAAGCACCCTGCAGAGGACAGTGTGGAAATGAACTCGATGAGGCGGTGAGTGTTTGACCCCATGTCTGTCCTCACACCACCCTCACCACTCTCATGGCTGACTGACACCGACTACATCCTGCCTGCAATGAGTCACTTCCCGTCTGTCATTACCTTGCCTGAGCACTTTCTTAATTCAACACTCGTACGTCTGACTATAAATGAGCGACGGATTCAGTGTTTGAAGTGTCATATTACATTATCACCAGTTTGTTTTCCTTCCTTCAGGTTTCATCCGTACTTTCTTCAAGAAAATGGGTCTGTTACATGCTAACCAACACCATATGAGTCTAGCAGCGTGAGAAATATCTAAAAGCTGGCTGCTTGAGAGTTGAGCTCCAGGGAAAGGATCCTTGTGGGGCAGCTCAAGGAATGGGGGAAGAGCGGAAGCAGATTGCTGGAGAAGGCAGTGGCTTTGAAGGTTGTAGGTAGCAGGTTTTTCCCTGCACCACTGCAGGAGAGTCGAGCGCAGGCCCCCACCGGCACAGGTGGTACTGCTCATTTCAATTTAGCTCAAATCTACACTTGAAATAGTGCGGCTGTCATAAGCAATCTGCAGCCCAGGACGGAGCACTGCCTTGGTCTGGGAGTGGTTGGGGGGAGAATGGGGGGTGTCAGAGCAGGCTACGTTAAGTTTTGAAGAAGAGGCTGCTGCCATATGCCCTCCCCACAACCTCCTCCCCCTCTTTTGCTGTTCCTTTACTCTTCCAAGCACATGTTCACCGCAGGTCCACTCATCCAGAACAGCACAAAGAGAGGTCAAAGCAGTCAACAAGTTATTTACTGCAGGGGAGCTGCTGTGCCTCACACACCCCATCTGCTTTCAGAGATGAGACAGAATCCCCCCCATTATGTAACACAACATTAGTTTTTTCTTTTACTGGGTTTGATGTACAAACATAACGTCTTTGTGCTTATGCTACTCATACCAGAGATGAAGCTCATGGGCATCAGGGCCAATACCTTCTCTCTTGGGGCGTACTCAAACTATGCTATTCAAACCATGCCCAGGCTCGTTTCGGACGGTTCGGTTGGGCTTTGGTGCGGTACGCTTGAAGTGTGAGTGCAAAGCGATTGAGCCCGAAACTTTAAGGGGACTGTTTCATATGAATTTATTAATTACTCTTACTGTTCAACGGACGCAAACTGTCATAGTTTATTAAAGACGCAAAGCCCTCACTGCACCTTTAGCAAACCTCCTAATAAGTGCAGCACGAGGACTTTTATTATTATTTATGAGCGTCAAAAGTTGTGGATCAGTTTTCGCGAAATATTTGACTGCGTGTCACTGCATCCCAAATCAATAAAATGATTTATTTAAAGCAATCGCCACTGCGCTTACTGAACAGTCGCATAATCGATGATGTAAGCATGCTCAGGTTTGGTAGTGCAGGCCTTTGGGGGAGAGGGGAGCGCTTAGGCACAGTTCAAGGCAACTGTACCTAGTGTGAGCAAGCCCTTAATGTTCTCATCTACTTTAGAAATTCAAATTGGGACCAGGTTTTGGGTTCAGTCAATTCAATCTCTGATGCTCAAGGTGTGAAACCAGCTTCAACTGGTAGCCTGATATCATGATTAAATGTTGCTATTATACTTATTGTCAGATTTACACAACTTCGCTTGTTTGAAAACATGGTTTTTAAATGATGCCCCAAACTCTACCCCTCATAGGGGATGAGCAAATTGTACCTAAATATGCAAATGAGATTGTACAAATAAAATGCAAATTAGCCACTAAATCAAAAAGCTATGAATTGTGGGAGAGCAGTGGATCTGGCAGATATCCATGCATGTTGACACCTTCAGATTTGCAGGTATACATTTTATCAGTTCAGACATTTTGTGGCAGTTGAACCCATGGCTGTGCTGCACTGTTTGAGGTTGCCTTTAGTTGAAAATTTCCTAGATTTAAATTGGTAAATTTAGTCTAATCGAGTGAATTGCAATACTGCAATCCCACTCATCCTACAGTCTTCTTGGAAATCTGAGGGCTTTTAAAACAGTGGAGACGAGGCAGTGTCTATAGACAGCACAGAGGATGGACAGATCAGAGCAAGCTTTGCAATCCTGGAAGTGTTTCCTCGTCAGAAAGCAGGCGTTTTTAAGCAGTGTTGTTCTAGCCTGAGGCTACAGCCCACTGGATCATGTTGAGCTCTTTCAGGGGAGGAAGAGAAAACATGGCAGGCCACGATGAATGCAAATGTACCTTGTGTGTCTTGCAAGCATCTTGATGGGGCCGGGAAGCACAGTTGCCCCTTTTGGAGCAGGTGTCTGATGTTGGATCCTCTAAATAATACACAAGCCTGGACATGAGGTGTTCATTTTGCTCTTGGTTTACAAAAAAGTATAATTGAACAGCTTTCAAAAAAACCCTTATGTGGTAGGGTAATCCCTCACCTTAAAATGACAATTGCATCATGCTAATTTATTCATGAATTTCATCAGAATTTTGGTACATTACTGCCCCATGCAGAGGTTCCAAAAAAGATGTACTGGCATCTGCACAGTCAGCACGTAAGGAACCTCGCCATTCCATGACTATGGAGAATTACACTCAAGTTGCCCCTTTTGGACAGTGTGCCTTGCCCAATGAGCTGCCAACCTGGCCAGCTCTTTCATGGCATAGCAGAGCCTCTCTCCAGGAGGTGGTTTTCTCTCTAGACTAACATGTGTTTCTGCAGCTGGTACCCTGCCCGCTAACGCACAACGCATGCCAGGGTTTATGCGTCCGTGCACTGATAGTGAGCGAATGCTGGGAGATTCTCTATCTTTTATCCCCAGGCTTCAAATGAAGTTGAAATTGAGTTTTTAGCTGGTTTCTTTCTCTCGCTTGCATGACTCTCGAGCAATGGCTCCTTGCCTGCAGCATCAGCAGGGAGTCCTTTCAAAGACTCCAACACCACAAATGCAAGAACGCATGTATGCAAAAAGACACACACACACATATACTTTTTTAGCTCTCAGACACACAGGAGTCTGCAGGCAGAGGACACTCCGCGAATAACTTTCATGCACATTTGGGAAAAGAGAAAGTTTATTCCTGAGTTCTTCAGGGGAGACTGCGATTGTGTGCACACATTTGAGTCTTTATGATTGAAGTCCTCAATATAAGCTTCAACATTATATTATTCACAAATTACAAACAAGTCGTAATGGATCACTCACATTTGTCCTAATGAGTAAAGTTGCCCTGTAGTTTGGCTCGTTAAACTTGTTCATCAAGACCCACATCATCTGTGCATTTACGCTTCATGACTGTGCTGAAGTAGTAAAGGAGAGCAGGAAGAACTGAAGAGCTGAATTGACAGGATTAATGGACGAGGAGCTGAGCGGTGCAATTACACCCTTCAGTGAGGGGCATTTTTCATTTTTGGGTCCTCCTCATCTCTGGCTTTCTCTCCTGTGGGAGAGGGTGCAGTCCTAGCGGTTTGTTTGTTTTAATTATTTTTCCATATGCAAATGTGGTTTTATTTAATTGCAGCGAAGC